TGTTCGGAGCAGCAGCGGATAAGCCAGCAACATAAAATATGTTTATCAAAATCAATATGAATAACGTTATCTGATCACACTGAAATTTTCATACTCAATTGAGCTGCATATTTACTTGTATGTATTTAAACTGTGCTAATTTTGTTTCCCCTTTATACTATGTATAAAGCATACGTATATACATACATACATAGATGTATGTGCATACGTACCACCCGCGCTCAGTTGGATACATTCGTATGCAAGCAAGCGAAAAATAGTACATATGTATGTAAGCAATATTGTGTGCGCGGGTGCATACGTGCATAAATATATATATATGTAAATTCTCATGCATTTAAGAAAACTGGATTTCTATTGTTGGTGATGAATTTGCAGTTATCCAATGTAATTAGGACATAGTTACTTAAATAGTTCAAGGTGAACTTTCTGTTAGTTAGTCGCGGACCAAATCTTGTTAAATACAGTTGCTTAACTTATGCATACATCGTTTGTTTTATTTTAATAGCTGCTAAAAAGGCTTAGTAGCTCAACATTTGGTGACCCCGACGTGATCGTATCACGCGATTTTTCATTTGTTTCCGGCCGCTTACTGAGATAATTCTGCCACACTAGTGTAAACGTCAGCAACTTCGTCATGCCAGGGGAAGGTGCAGATCGAGTAGCCTTTCTAAAGCTGAAAACAAAGGCCATATTCAGCAGACTGGAGAGCTTGATTAACGAGTTGGACGCAGACAAGCTACACAGTATGGATGAGTACAGTCTTTCAGCAATGCTAGAATCCTTAGGCGAATTGAAATCCAGTTTTTCTGCCGCACACACAAGCCTAGAGGAATTGGACTTCGACTCCATTGCCAGCGACCTGCCAAGTAACTTCGATGCTGCTCTAATCAACCTTAGAGCTACACTGCAACGCGAGATTGGTAAACGTAGTGCCTCGCAACATTGCTCCACGCTCAGAATGAACTCCAGTGAGACCCAATCAATCATTGTGAACGCTAATAGCTCGCGCTTGCCATTGCTGACACTGCCTAAATTCAGTGGCGCCTACACCGAGTGGACAAATTTCTATTCAATGTTCACGTCAATAATCGACAAGGACAGCGACCTCACCAACATCGACAAATTGCAGCATCTTCGTTCCTGTCTGAGCGGCGCTGCCCTTGACACCGTGCGCTCGCTGGAAATAAACGACGCTAATTATAACACTGCATTAGATCTTTTACAAAAGCGCTTCGATAACAAACGTCTTATATTTCAGGCACACGTCAGGGAGATATTTGGGCTAGAGAGGGCAGATTCAAACGTAACCAAGCTACGAGAGCTGACAGATAAGGTCACAGCACACATACGCGCATTGCAGTCGCTCGCATCCAATGGGAAGATCGCAGATGGCATCATCGTACAATTGGTGATCCAGAAACTCGACAAAAAAGACGCAAGCTAAATGGGAGGAGAGTTCATCGATCAGCGAACTGCCATCCTGGGATTAATTAGCTATGTTCTTGGAGAAGCGCTGCAGAACACTCGAGAACGTTTAGCATTCTATGCAGACACCGACTGGTCAGGCGGTAAAAGCTAACAAGAACGTGAGTACTGGTCAGAGGAAATCCTTTGTTGCTTCCAACGGCTCAAAAGGTGTTTGTGTGTTTTGTGGATCTGCCGAGCATGCAATTTATAGCTGTCAACGCTTCGCAAATTTGTCTCCGAATTTACGCCTGAGGGAAGTTAAGAAGCTTTCCCTTTGTCTTAACTGCCTAAAGACTGGGCATCAAATTCGTGACTGCAAATCCGGATCGTGCCGCGCCTGTCAGTCGAAACACCACACGCTCTTGCATTTCGAACGCTCAACTGCATCGTTAATCAATAGTCAAGCCGAAGCTTCGTCGGCAGCTACAGTTCAATCCAACGCTATGACTGCATCGTTATCTGTGTCGCCTAGTGCCCCAGTATCTCCTTCTGATGCTGTGTTCCTAGCTACTGCCGTCGTTCTGGTAAAAAATCGTGCTGGAAGCTTCGTGCCTTGCAGGGCGCTTTTAGATTCTGGCTCCCAGTTACACTTTGTCACAACTCGCCTTGCAAACCAATTGCAGCTTGTAAAAGCAAAATCTTCTGCTACAGTATCTGGCATTGGAGATGCCAATTTCTCAACGGAGGGTTACTCAGTCGACCTCGTACTGAAGTCGCGGACTTCAGATTTCTCAACAAACATAACAGCTGTTGTTGTACAAACCATAACCGACAACCAGCCTGGCTGCTCCGTGAGCACCAACGAGTGGAATGTTCCGTCGAATATACAACTAGCTGATCCTGGGTTCAACTTACCGCAGCGAATTGATCTGCTCATTGGAGCAGCATTGTTCTTCGATCTGCTATGTGTGGGGCAGATACGCTTGGCATACGGTTTACCACTCCTTCAGAAAACACGCCTCGGTTGGGTGCTATCTGGAGGGGGGCAACAAGCTCCAAAACTATCATCTTTTGTGGTGCGACGGAAGTCCTCCAGTGATATTATTTCCACTCGGTTGGAAGATTTAGTGCGTCAGTTCTGGGAAATAGAGCACAACTTCGAGCCGATCTCTAAGGCCTCCCAAGAAGATATCGACTGCGAAGCCCACTTCCGGGAAAATTATTTGCGATTGTCATCAGGCGAATACTCAGTTCGTCTTCCCATGAAGCGTGGTGTGGAGGCCCTTGGAGACTCCTATTTGCAAGCTCGTCAACGCTTCGAAAGTCTTGAACGAAAATTCGCTCGTAACCCTGAGCTTAAAACAGAATATAGTAAGTTCATAAAGGAATATCTGGACCTTAATCACATGTCGCTAGTTACCAATGAGGTTTTTCAACAATGCAAGTATTTTCTGCCGCATCATTGCGTCATCAAGGATGACAGTAGCACAACAAAGCTGAGAGTGGTTTTTGATGGCTCTGCATCCACTACTTCGGGCTTTTCGCTGAACGACCTACTCATGGCAGGCCCAACTATTCAGCCGAAACTTTTTGATATCCTTATTAGATTTCGTACTTTTCCCATAGCACTTACTGGGGACATCTGTAAGATGTATAGGTGTGTTCGCGTCACCCCACCAGATAGCATGCTCCAATGCATATTGTGGCGTGAATCTCCTCAGGAAAACTTTGCCATCTATAAGTTAGACACGCTGACCTATGGAACTAAGCCTGCGTCATTTCTGGCCATACGTGCCATGCACCAACTCGCAGCTGACGAATCCTCGACTTACCCCATTGGTGCAGAAATAGTGCGTCGAGACTTCTACGTAGATGACTTGATATCTGGAGGCGAGTCGATGGAAGAAGTACTGAATATCAAGCTACAAACAACTAGCCTCCTTGCTCGAGGAAACTTTAAGTTACGCAAGTGGTGCTCTAATAGTCCAGATATCCTTCGTGATATACCTGACGTAGACAAGGAACGTTTCCTTAAGTTTGACGATGGCAGTGACATCACCAAAGCTCTGGGACTAGTTTGGGATCCGGTCAAGGACAAGCTGCTATTTTCGTTTGTGCCACAACGAGAACTGGGTAAAAACTCAAAACGCTCTGCGTTGTCTACTCTAGCTCGCTGTTACGATCCCCTTGGACTAATGGGCCCTACGCTGACCAAGGCGAAGATTCTTCTGCAACGCATGTGGAGAGACAAGCTTGAGTGGGATGAGAGTCTACCGCAATCGTTAAACACCGCCTGGTCTGCCTTTTGCAGCGGGTTTGCAGACATACAGCACCTATCATTTCCTCGTTACGTCTTGCAACCTGGGGCCATTACAGAAATTCGTGCATTTTGCGATGCAAGCCTTGAAGCTTATGGGGCTTGCGTTTATACGCGTTCAGCCAAGGATAGTAAGGTACAAGTGCACCTGTTGTGTTCGAAGGCCCGTGTCGCTCCACTGAAGACTATCACCGTGCCCAAGCTGGAACTCTGTGCAGCAACACTGCTGGCACAACTCATGGGTGAGTTTACAAAAATGAAGCTTTTTAACTGTTCATTTCATTGTTGGTCAGATTCCTCCACTGTCCTCTCGTGGCTGCGAGAAGAACCATCGAAATTTAACGTATTTGTCGCTAACCGAATTTCCACCATACATCAATTAACGGAGGGCATGCGGTGGCACTATGTTCCGACAGCAATGAATCCGGCGGACATTTTATCCAAAGGAGCTACCCCGCAGGAACTTCTAGGATCTTCACTTTGGATGCACGGCCCGTCATTTTTGCGAGAAGTGGAGGGCAGCTGGCCGCGCATGTGTCTACCACAACCAAAACTTCCAGAACTTCGACAAAAGGTGTTGCTTGCCGCACATAACCGCAATGACATTTCGCTTTCGTTCAAGTACATTAATTCATTTGGAACAATGCAGCGCATTTTTGGGTACGTCAGCAAATTTGTCAATATTACAACATCGCCAAGCTCTTCGCAGCTCACAGCCGCAGATATTCACCATGGAACTCAACTGCTTATTCGCTTAGTACAAAGAGCGCAACTTTGGCCGGAGTACACGGCATTACAGGCCAATAATTGCGTCCCGAGTTCGAGCAGCATTGTTTCGCTATCACCATTTCTTGATGACTTTGGAATTATTAGAGTCGGCGGGCGATTAAAAAACTCTATGCTTAGTTTTGAATCGCGCCACCCATGCATTATTCCGAAGGATCATCCACTGACATTTAGTATAATAACCTTTTTTCATCGCAAACAACATCACGCAGGTCCTCAAGCTTTACTCGCCTTCATTCGAATGCAGTTTTGGCCCATAGGTGGTCGGAAAACAGTCACTCGAGTCCTACAAAAATGCATTATTTGCTGCAAATCGAGACCGCGCCTTGTCGAGCACATAATGGCCGACCTGCCTAAAGAGCGAATTCAGGCCTCGCGCCCATTCATAGTCACCGGTGTGGACTACTGCGGGCCATTTTATTACAAGCCTGAAGTACGCAATAAATCGCCCCACAAATGTTATGTAAGCGTTTTCATTTGCTTCGCCACAAAGGCTGTATGGATGGAGTTGGTAAGAGACCTCTCAACAGGTGCTTTCATTGACGCGCTAAAACGATTCATCGCTACGCGTGGCATACCCAGCTGCAACTGGTCTGACAATGCGACGAATTTTGTAGGCGCCAAGAACGAGCTTAAAGAACTACGGAACTTAGCCCTCAGCGAGAAACACCGCAGCGAAGTCCACAACTTTTGCCTCAGTAATGGCTTTGATTGGCGTTTCATCCCACCTCGCTCTCCGCACTTTGGCGGTTTGTGGGAAGCGGCCGTAAAAACAGCCAAACAACATTTCTATCGTTCCGTTGGCTCATCACGGCTTGGCTTCGATGAATTGCGTACTTTGGTATGTCAAATCTGTGCTGTAATTAACGCTCGTCCTCTCGTACCCCTTTCAGAAAACCCAGAGGATTTAGATGTGCTAACGCCAGGCCATTTTTTGATTGGTGGTTCTCTGACAGCTCTTCCGGAACCGGATCTAACGACGCTAAACTACGACCGACTTGATCGATGGCAGCGTGCAACATACATTAAACAGGTTTTTTGGAAGCGGTGGACTCAAGAGTATCTAACTCTTCTACAGCAACGCGCAAAGTGGCGTTTACCTCATGCCAACATTCAAGTCAATGATGTCGTATGCATAAAGGAAGAAAACTCACCACCACTGAAGTGGCCTCTAGCACGGGTAATCGAAGTTGTCCCTGGAGCAGACGGTGTCGTACGTGTGGCACTTTTAAAAACATCTAGCGGCATAACGCGACGAGCCGTGAACAAGCTGTGTGTCCTCCCGGTGAAGGATTCTGTTGAAAGCCCTGACCTTTCAACGGGGGGGAGGATGTTCGGAGCAGCAGCGGATAAGCCAGCAACATAAAATATGTTTATC